GCCGGAGCGGACACTCGCGATGACCCCTCCCCCTACTCAGAGGTCACGGCCCGGAGCCGTCACCATGGCAATGGGCAGCTCCGGCAGCCGCCCGGGGCGAGGGAATGCCCGCCGGGACCGCGTGCTCACCTGCGCCGCAGCCAGCGGTCCTCGGTCCGGCCCCCGCCCTCCACCGCCGCCGGGAGCACCGATGTCGCCACTCCCAGCGGCCCGCGGGCCTCGCCCCGGGGCCCCGCCCCCCGGCCGCCGGCTCCCTCGGAGCGCAGGGATTGGCTGAGCTCCAGCCAAAGGCCCGGAGGAAGCGAGGTGTCCTCAGCCCAGCCCCGCCGCGCGGAGATGGTACAGCGCCCCCTAGTGGCCAGGAGGTTTACCAGTGACGTCACACCGTGCCTTTTCTCACGGAGAGAGTGAAAGGTCGGTCAAGCATGGGTTTATTCAACTGATGTTTATTAGGCGTCTTCTAAGACCTAGGTCTGGGCGCGCAAAAACGAAAGACATGAGCCCTGACCTCAAGCAGCTCTCTTTAGCAGAATATAGTTTAGTGCTTAAGAACGCTTCAGATCTGGGCTAGCTTTCTAGCTGTGTGACCTTGGGAACATTATTCATCTGTCTGAGCCTCCTTTCCCTCTTATGTGTAAAGGTAGTAGCACCTGTTTCACAGGATGTTGTGAGGGTTAGAAGAGATGATGTATGTAAAGTGCTGTACCAGGCACATAGCAAGCAGGGAAAGAAATGGTACAATTGTTAGTCTACAAATAATAGAAATACAGTAAAACCTAAGTCTTACCTAGTGGGTAAGATTTGGCGCTCTAACCAGGGTGCCCCAGGTTGTTTCCCTGGTCAGGGAACCCCACCCCCCACATCCCCACTCCACCCCACCCAGTCTGTCAGTTGTCATACTGTGGTGGCTGTGTGTTGCTGTGATGCTGAAAGCTATGCCACCAGTATCTCAAACACCAGCAGGGTCACCCATGGTGGACAGGTTTCAGTGGAGCTTCCAGACAACACAGACTAGGAAGAAGGACCTGGCCACCACTTCCAAAAACATTGGCCATGAAAACCCTGTGAACAGACGGGGAGCACTGTCTGGCATAGTGCCTGATAGGTGAGAGGATGGCGCGAAAAGACCAGGCAGGGTTCCACTCTGCTGTACACAGGGTCACTGAGAGTTGGAGTCAACCCAACGGCACTAACAACAAAAGTCTTACCTGACCCCTCAGGCACAGATATCCACTCCCTCCTCTGTGTCCCCGCCGCGCCTTGTACATACGTCTGTTTTATCACAGATGGAAACAAACGCCAAAGCTCAAGCTCGGTAATGCCCCCTCCCAGCCCTGCCTTTCCACCCTCAGCCCTCTAGTCTCAGCCAGGCATATTTATTTATCTTTAGTAACACATGCTAAACCCCTCGTATTCCCCCGTGCCGACCAAACTGTTTCACACCTCGGTGCCTTTATTTATGTTGTTTCATCTACCTGAAAGTGCCCTTCCCACCTTTCTTTAGCCAAGGTCGCTCTGGCTCATTTTTCAAGCTGAAGGGACACCTCAGTAGGAAGCCTCCTAGACTGCATAATCAGGTTTATGGATACGCTTTTCCTCTACAATCTCGAGGAGCTCAATGCTAACCTCTGGCAGTGGAGATGGAGAGAAAGGAACAGTATAAAGAAATACGTGGAATAGCAGACCTTGTTCACTTACTGAATAGGTAGAGGAGAAGGGAACAGAACTGCCTGGAATAACTAGCATTCAGTAAGCCAATTAACATGTGATAGGCATTGGGGATGCAAAAATGACTGAGACCATCCCTGCCCGCAGGAGTTCTCTGGCTGACCAGGAAGAACACAGGTCTAAAAACATCAATAGAACAGGAGAAATGTATCAACAGAAGTATGCACAAGTGGCACAGAGAAGGAGCCCCAGGAAGAATCGGGGAAGGCTCCCTGGAGGAACTTGCCCTTGACCGGAGTCTCCAGTGATGGCTAGCAGTTCCATCAGGCAGAACCGAGTGGGGCTTGAGAGCCCAGACTTGGGAGTCAGACAGATCTGGGTTCAAATCCCGGCTCTGCTGCCTCCTAACTCAGAAAAGCTATTTACACTCTTCGTTTTAAAAAAGACAATAGTAGTACCCACCCCCTAGGGCTTTTCTGAGTACTAATTCACCAAATACCTAGAAAGTGCTTGGTTGGTACCTCCTAAGTGCTCAGTAAATGGTCACCGGTATGGTCAGTATCCTCCAGATTCCTTCCTCCTTCTGTAATATCCTATGTCCATTTATGGCATTACTTATTCACTAAGTTAAAAACCTGAGTGGCATCTTCAAGGCCTCTTCATCTTTGCCTATTCCCCAGATCCAGCACATAGCACCTCTGCCTCCTGAATCTGATGCCTGAATCTCTCAGATTCATCATCATCATCTATGACCTGGACCACCTTCACAACTCCCTCAGTGGTCTTCTTGCCTTCCATTGCCCCCTCCAGTCCATTTCACTTCTCTTGGCCAAAGAGTCTTTCAAGAACTTAAATAAAACCATGAAATCTCCAGCTTAACCCCGCTCCCCATGGTTCCCTTTCGGCCACTCTTCTCTATGCCCTCTACCCCTCTGTCCTAGCCTGTCACCTCTCTCCAGTCTCTGCTCTTCCCATCCTTCTCCACACACATACCCTTCCATGCCTTTGCCCAAGCTGGTCCTGTTGCTTGAAATGAACATCTTCCCCTCTCTTTCTTGATTACAAAACTCTATTTCATTCTGCAAGACCCAGTTCTCTGAGTCTGAAAGCTTTCCCAGACTCCCCAGCTGCTAGAGGCTCCCTCCCTGGTCTCTGCAGCCCCTCTGGGAGAGCAGGCTTCCCTTTGTACTGTACCTTTCTGTTTATGTGCCTGGCTATGCCAGACTGCGAGCAACTCAAGCACAGGGATGGGCTCTAATCCTTCACTTACCTATGGAGCCCAGCACAGCTACCCAGCCACAGCACCCCAAGGAGACTCCTCTCAACATCAGCCCACACAGGGAGATCTTAGACTTCATGTCTGCAGCAGGATGCCCACACAGTAGCAGGTACTGCCCTGGTCCTCCGTGCCCACTCCCATATATCTCACGGTCCCTGGGAAACCTGGCCCAGTTTCTGGGAAAAGACATAGACCCATAAAAAAACACATACTGTACTATGAGAGTTAAACCCAGACTCAGCCACTTCCCAGCTTTGTGATTTGGGGTAAGCTGTTTAACCTCTCCAAGCCTCAGTTTTCTCATCTGTAAAATGGTGCTGATAACAACAGGATTGCTCTGAGTATTGTCTAGTTCAAACCTCATCCATGTCCCAATTTCAGAGATGAGAAAACTGAATCTCAGAGAGGTAAAGTGACCCAGCCAGAGCCTCACTTGGCCAGTCTGGGGAAACAGACAAGTGAGCATTTCCAGTTGAAACCTTTAGACCGTCCTCCAATCTAAGTGTTCCCACACCTGGCTGCCCAGCAGAACCACCAGGTGCACTTGTTAAAAACTCATTTGAGGGCAGAGAGTCTCTTCACTAAATCCTGGACAGGGCTAGGGAATCTGTTTGGGATAAGCTCCAGGCTGATTCCTTTGTGGGAAGTGGGATCATATGGGAGTCCTCTCCACCTTCCGGTGGTCTCACAGGAGTGTGTGTATGATCTCTTGCTTTTCAGGTGGTCTCCCAGACAAGCCTGTAAAATATCTGTTCATGCCACTCACCTGTTCAAACTCCTTCTGTGGCTCCCCATGGCCCTCAGGGCCCAGACCCACCTTCCTCAAACTGACCCAAAAGCCCAGCATGATCAAGCCTCTGCGCTCCCAACGCCTCTTTCTCCTCCAGGCCTTTGCATGGCTGTTCTGTGATTGTGGATCATTCTTCCTAGCCCCAGCCGCCCTTCAGTGGCTAATACCCAGTCATCTTCCCAGCACTCACCTTTTATTGTAACTGCTTGTTTACTTGTCTGTTGTTCCCATAAGACCGTTAGAGCCATTGAAGTAGAAACTACACTTGTTTAGGGCTATCTCCCCGGTGCTGGACAGTGCCAATAGGAAATCTTGAGAAACGTTTGCTGAATGAATGAGAAGAATTGGCTAGTGTGGCCCATGCTGTGCGCCAGGCTCACATCCAGTGTGGCCCAGAAGAGCAGCCAACCCCTTGGAAGGCTTTTTCTCCTGTCTCAGGGGCATACATCAACCCCAGGGATTGGAAAGGTGGCTTTCTGGGTGAGGGCTGCCATCAAACTCTTTCTGGGCTCCGAAGGCTGTCGAGCTAAAAACTCATGGTTTAGCATTCGACAGACCCAGGCCCACCTCTCTTAGCCCCGCCTGTGACTTTGGACAAGTCACTTAAGCTCTCCTGAGCTTCTGCTGTCTCACCTGTCCTAAGGATGAGCCACATGCATGTGAAGCACTCACCCCCTGCCTAACCCACAATAAGCACCCCATAAATATTAGTCATCACCACTGCGTTTGGGTTGCCATTTAGCTTCCTAGGAAAGTTGTGTTCTCCTCCCCCTGTGCCCCCACCAAAGTGCCCACCCATAGGAGGCATCAGAAAACGTGATGCACTTAATTGAAGAGTTTTTCTACTGCTGATCAGGAATGACTGGAGCAGAGGGAACAGTGGGCCTTTAGGGGAAAGGAAACCAATTATTTGTCCATATCTGAGAATAACAGCACCCCCTGTTTATTGAGCACATGCTGTGTGCCAGGCACCGGGCTCTGGGCTTCCCTCTCTGCGGGAACCCTGGGAGGCAGAGAGAGAAATGGACTGAGCTAGGAGGAGTGGAGAGGTCGAAGTCCTCCTCTCTTCACCCCATCCGGATCCCTCCAGCACTGCTCAGGTCTTCTGTGGCCGCCAGGGGGCCGAATCCCCTTTTCCCTGGCTGGCCCAGGCAACCCCCGCTCTCCCGAAACCAAGAGCGTGGGCTCCCAGCCGCTCCTCCCTCCACCCACTGTTCCCCACGCACGGGGCAGAGGTGGCTTCTTCTGGAGAGAGCAGGTGGCTCGAGTGCAGTTCTGCCGTTTTATTTTTCCTGGGATACTCAAGGGGGTGTGGGAACAGCCACAGGTGTGGTGAGGGGAAGCCCCCATCTCCCCTCCCCAGCAGCTGGGAGAGGGGAGAGGCCCAGGCGCCCTGGTCCTGGGTTGGTCCAGCCACTGTGGTCCCTGGGCCCGGTGGGCTGAGGGCTGAGGGTGGAGCGGGCTCCTAGGCGGGGTTCGGGATTCTTCATAAAAAGCCACGAAGCTTGATTCCCCACGAAGCCCAGCCCCGCGGGGTGGGGGGGACGCAGAGCCCAGATGGGGGACCCGGCCCGGCCTGGCCCGTGGGGGGAAGTAATGGTAGAGATGGTGCCCATGGGGAGGAGGTGGGGACGAAGCGTCGGACCAGGAGGGAGGGGAGTCCAGCTGGGGGCGCAGGGCGGAGAGGCACGGCCCCCAGCCCAGCCCGGGCGCCTTCGCGTGGGGTCCGGAAGGTAAAAAACCCACGAGAGTGTGATGGGCAGGAGGGGCCGGGGCGTGCGGTGCCGGCGGGGCGGGCGCACGGGGCGGCCCGCGATCACAGTGACCTCGACGCTGGGTGTACAGTACGGGTAGAAAACCGCGGGCCCGGGCTGGGCGGGCCGGGCCGGTCACAGCCTGGTCTGGGCCTCGGGGATGTAGATCTCGATGCTGTCGGCGCTCTCGGTGGCCGAGCTGTGGCGGAAGGAGGCGGCGCGCTTGGCCGCCAGGAGCCGCTTGCGCGCTTCCTGCCGCTGCCGGTCCACCGAGTCCAGGGAGCGCTCCTTCACCGGCACGCCCCGGCCCCGCGACGGCTTCTTTGGTATCGGCGGAGGGACCTTCTTCTCCTCCTGCCGGCAGAGGGGGCGGCGGCTTAGTTCGGAGACGGGGTCCCACCCCGACTTCCCAGTTTACCCCCCACGGCCCGGAGGGATTAACATCTGTGGCTCCGCCACGTGGGTGCGGTTAGAATCCGCCAACACCTGAAGCCCCAGATGTACTTGTTCTGACAAGGTCAAACCCACATTTTTCATTAAAAAATAATTGATTTGATTCGAGCGCCCCCTGGTGGAGCCGTTCTGGAGCACTCCCTCGGGGAAGCGGATGTTTTCATCCCAGGTGGGGAGGAGGGCAGCTCCCCTGGGCAAGGCAATGGGGGTTCACATACGAGGCCTCTGGGCCCCATCACAGACAAGGTCTCACAAGGTGAGATGAGGGCTGAGGGGACCCTCAAGGTCGCCTCTGGGCCTCGGTTTGAGCTGCGGGCAGTCTGCCCTTCTGGAAGCTCTAGTTCTGCTTCCTCAAACTGCAGCTGGTCCAGGGTGGCTGCAGGCACCTCAGGGTTCTGGCAGCTCAGGCAGTGATGAAGCCAAGCAGACGGCAGTGACCAAGAGTGCGGTCATTGTGGAAGAAGAGGGTCCCCATCACCTGTCCAGGGCTGCCTTTGCTGCCCATGGGTCTCTTCTCCTGCCCCTTCCACCCCTCCACTTTGGGGAAGGGCATTTTCCCAGGTCTGGCCTCTTGGCTTGAAGGGACCTCCCCCCACCTTAGGTTCCAGGAGTTTCCAGCTGTTGGCCTTGAGTTGCTGTAGCTCCAGGAACTTGAGGGTCACATCCTCGATAGAGAGCTGCAGGAGGTCCCAGAAACCCGCCAGGTCCTGGAAGGTGGGCACAGGGAACGCAGTGGGGTCCTGCAGCAGAGAAAGACAGAAGAGGGACAGCCAGTCAGCGAGGTCTGTGCTCCAGCCAGGATCAGAGAAAGCCCCACCCACCCTTACTGTCGGGAAGCTCAACTTGGGAGAGTGGAGTAGGGCCTGGGAGACAGGGAGACAAGAAAGAGCCCAGACTTCTCTCTCGGGCACAAACACCTGGTCTCACCTCTAGGCATATACACACTTGGCCTCCTACAGGTACACACATCTGGTAGGCTCTCCACTCCTGGGCACTCACCATGCTTTGCTGACACAGCCGGAAAAACTGCTGAACCTTCTGGGACAGGAGAAGTTGTGTGCTGCCCACGGCACTGCGGATCTTCTCCAGGACTGGAGAACAGAAGGAGATTTAGGGAGAGGAATGATGCCTCTCCTTCCCCCACCTCCAGGAAGTCTGCCCTGAATGACTCTGACCCGTCCATTATCTGGCACTGTCTACCCATCAGTCTCCTCCAATCCCCTCCCCATCCCGTCCTCCAGTTCCTAACAAGCAGCTCGTATCCCATGTCACCAAGACGGGATCCTCAGACACTGATGTTTCTTCCTTCATATAACTGGCATTTCTTGAGTGCTTACCCGCCTGTGTCCTTCTTCCCTCCCACGTCACAGAACAGATGGAAGCCAGCTCCAGCCTAGCCCTATAGCCTCAGCCAAGCACTAGCTTAATAACTACCCACTGGCTGAACTTTGTCACTCATCAGTATATGATTCCTTGGCTCATTAAGAATTACTGAATAATTTCATGTGTGTGCCTCTTGTCTTCCCAGTCACCATCCCATCAACTTGGGGATTCCAGGGTGAGACTGTGTCTCCCCTCAGTCTGGACTTGCAGGGAACGGCCATGTCCTCCCTCAGGCCAGGGCCATGTCTCGGCTGAATCCCCTTCCCCTACGCCTCAGGCATGACCTGAAATTGTGCACTGCCTCCTCCTCTGCCTTGAAGTCCTGGTCCCAACACCTGGATCAGACCCAGATCCCCACACAAGCCCAGGTCGGAGCAGAATCCCCTTGACCCCCATGGACTTGGTGACTTGGACTGGCGGCCATCTCCTAGACGGCTCAGCCTTTTCTCCTCGTCACTTTCCCTGGTCCTAGCCCTGGCCTCTGAAGCTGCTCCCTACTTCCTTCCAAGAGCTCCCGGCATGCCCTGCTGCCAATGGGGACCCACCAAGGTTCGGGGCTAAAGAACCGAACAGCAAGGAAGGCACGCTCACACCCAACCAAAGTGCCCTCCCATTGTGCTGCTGGCCCGCTGCTCTCCAGTGAGCCAGGATCCCTCCACGCACACGAGGCCGGAGGCGCCCCCAGAGCATCCCACTCACTCTCCTCGGGCAGCTCATAGTCCTCCGCCTCGCGCTCCATCTGCTGGCACCAGTGCTCCAGCTTCTCCACCTCCGCCCTTAGCATCTTGATGAACCACTCGCCGTCCCGTGGGCAGGGGGACGTGCGGCCTGAGTCGGGGAGGCTACGTGAGCCCCGCTCCATCCAGGAGTCACGGCGGCCGGCCCCAGGGCCGGGGGTGGAGGCCGGGGCAGGGCCGGGCGACCCATCGGTGGCCGGCGGCTCATACGGCAGTGGGTAGCCCTCGCGGTAGGCCCACTGGCCTTGCGTGTGGACCGTGCGGAAGACTGAGTAGGTGGGGGCCCGGGGCCCGGGCTGGGGCTCAGAGGCGTGCCTCTGGAAAGAGCGTCCAAACTGCAGAGCCTTGTCTTCTGTGGCCACTGTGGCCAGACCGGCCAGGCCCTCCAGCTCCAGGTCTGCCTGCACGCCGGCTGTCACACTGTTGGAGCGCTTGAACCTCGCCCGCCTGGTGAGAGAGGTGGCTGTCATCTCTGCCCCTGCCCAGTCTTATCCCAGCCCTCATCCCCTACTCAGGCCAAAAGGAAAAGGAAGGAGAAAGGAAACGTGCAAAATGATGAACATTAATCCACGAGCTTTAAATATATCAGTCCTTGCAACGGGTGGGTACCTAATATACTTCATAACGCCTCTGGACAGTGGTGATATTCAAAATATTTAACTATCTGTACTCCATGGGCAGAACAGATGCTGGCATACACCAACCACAACAGACACAGAGAAGTGCCAGGGCATCACCCTGCAGAAGCTGGATCATGGGGCAGACCAGAGGGGCCCAGGGAGGGTCTAGGGTGGTGGTTCTTTACCAATGAATACAGAAATACTTCAGCATTTTAACAAATGGTATGTCTTTGCTAGTTTACGCCAGCTGTGCGGGTATGTCCTCAGCCCTACAGAGAGATGAATGAAAGAAGGCCCAGAGAGGCCCATGGTCACCCAGAGAGCCAAGATTTGGACCCAGGGCTGCAGGCTGCACAGCAGAAGCACTTCCCACCACACAGGCTGCTAGAACATCAGGAAGAATTGCCTTGGAGCAGCTGCGGGGTGGGGGTGGCTGCAGCTGGGAGGACTTTTCCTCTGGGGACCCCCATGGCTCAGCCCAGAGCCTGGCCAGACACAGTCAGCCAGCCGGTGCCAGTGGAGTTGAATTAAGTTGTTGGCAGGAATAACACAGGGCCTGGAAATTTCTTGTCTTTGAGTTAATAATATGCAAATACTATGCAAAACAGAAAGTCAATTGGCCTTGTTCTTTATTTTACCCCCCTGAGTTCAGAGTTGGGGCTCTTTTCTGTGAAGAAGTCAGTGGCCCCCTGAGGTGCATGAGGCTGATCAGACAACACTTGATGAAGAGGGAGTCAGGAGATGCGGGGGTGGCAGGGGAGGTGAACAGAAGTTTGAGGTTTGGAAATTCAAGGACTATAAAAGAAAGACCCATGTGTCCTAAGCTACTGCCACCCCCATATGGTCAGAAGAGAGAAGGCCTTGGGGGGCCAACTCCAGGGGCCCCTCCAGCTTCCCAGGAGACTCCCCCAACCCCCACAACTTCAGCTTTCCTCCTGCTGCCCAGGCCGTCTCTCCCTGCCTGCCTTGCCTGCCTGCTTCCCTCCAGCTGGCGGGCTGCCTGCTGGGAGCCTGTTGCCATAGAAACCAGGCCCAGAAGGATGCTGCAGGACCCAGGAAAGAGAGATGCACTCATGTGCAGTCTCCAACGAGCCCTATGTCCCAACCCCCACCCAGAGGGAGAGAAAGCGAGAACACATCTGCATTGCTTCCCACATGGTCTTCACCTTGGCGTCTGCCCTCGTCAAGATTTGCATCACCCTCTGCCTTGACTCAGACACCTCTGCCTCCACTCAGGACAGTGCAGAAGAGCACTGGACTAGGAGTCAGATCTGAGTTCTAATACTGGCCTTGCTGCTATATGCCTTTGGGAAGTCACTCACTCTCCATCTAGGTCATCTACTATATATGTGTATTTAAAATATATGATATATATGATTATATATTATATGTAAATACACACACACATATATACACACTATATAAAATGATAGGAATGGACCAGTAATTGCCAAGGTACCTCCTCTCTCTAAAATTATACCTTGCATATTTTAAGATCTGGGGCCCAACATTCCCTCACCCATCCATACTGGAGTAGTCTTCCTGAAGCTGACCTCTGCCAACTCATTCCCCTGCTCCATACTCTCCCATAGCTCCCCATCACTAATAAGATAAAGTTCGTGCTTCCAATGCTAGCATCTACCCCATGCTGGCATATTCTCTGGATGCGGTCCTCCTCTCCAGCCTCTTCCCCCCTCCATTCTCCTTGTTCCCCAAGTGGCTTATACTAGCTCTCACTCTGAGCCTTTGCACATGCTATTCCCCTGCCTGAAATGGCATTCCTCCTGCTCGCTCCCTGTCCATTCCCTGCTCAAGTCCCCTCTTCTTCTGCGAACCTCCTGACCGCCCCCAAGAACATCCTCAGTACCGCACCTCCCTCAGCAGTCTTCTTGCATTTGGAGGCAGCCCCACTGTTCGGTTAAATTGTTCTGTCTGGTGAGAGTCTTGTGTGTCTAACTGAATTATTAGGACACATTTTGCTTCCCTTTGAATATTTTTGTGCCTTTGAGCTCCAGTTAGCTTTGGGCTCCTTCAGAGATCCAGCAGTTGCAAACCACGCAGGGAAAGGTGGGGCTTGCCCCAAGAAACACATTATTGAAGATGTGCCTTCCCAGCCTGCTTTCCTGTTATCCCCACAGGGACCTGTCCTTTGGCATCACTGGGTTTGCTGCCTTTCACCTGTCCTCTGAGGGGTCCAGAGAGGGTCATGCTCTGTCTTGATGGAAATAGGACACACAGTCTGGAACAGAAGCATAAGTGCCCCAGGCTTCATGGTTCTCAAGTGAGCTCTCTCACTGTGTTTACTTCAAGGAAGGCCAAAGAAGTTGAGGAGCTTATGGGATTACAGGAAGCACCATCTCCACCAACACTCCCAGCTAGGGGCCAGAGATTTGCACAGCTCACGCAGGAGTCCGCCATCCTTGTGCAAGTGGCATTTAGAACCAGCAGTGTGATTTCCAAAAAAAGAACAATGCAACAAAGCTCTAAAGCCCTGGGAGACACAGACATTTCAGGGGTGGGTGGAGATAGTGTAGCCCACAGAGGGGTCTAGGCCAGACAGGAAGAGGAAGAAAACGAGCAGAAAGTCACCCAAAGGCAGATAGAGGACAGAGGGTCTCAAGAAGGAATGAGCAGCCAACAGGGAAAATGCAGCCAGTTAAGAATGAAAGGTGTCCACTGATCTGGCAATATGGAAGCCATTGGCAATCAAGGTGAGAGTAGGTTTGGTGGAGGATGGGGGCAGACGCAGGTGGCAGGGGGTTGTCAGGAGGTGGAGAAAACTAGGCAAGACAACGCTTTCAAAGAGCTGGGTTGAGAAGGGAGGAAGAGAGAAGACAGTGTACCTTTAAGGGAGGAATATTTTGGTTGTCAATTATATCTCAATAAAGCTGGGAAAATAAGGGAGGGGTATTTTGTTTAGGATTGTTCTCATGTGCCATATCCCAAGGGGAGAGAACCTGTAGGGTAGGTAGAATAATGGCTGCCCAAAGAGGTCCATGTCCTAATTCCTGGAACCTCTGGATTTGTTACCTCCATGGAAAGAGGGACTTTACAGATATGATTACATTGAGGATCTTGAGATGAGAAGAGCCTGGATTATCCAGGTGTGTCCAATTTAATCACAAGAGTCCTTATAAGTGAAAGAGGGAGGCAGGAGAGTAAGAACCAGGGAAGGAGATGGGACGACAGGATCAAGGTTGGAGCATGATGCAAGGTGAGGACTCGACTCGCCATTGGCGGCTTTGAAGACAGAAGCGGGCTACAAGCCAAGCAATGTGGGCAGTCTCTATAAACTGGAAAAGCTGACAAAATGGATTCTTCCCAGAGCCTCCAGAAGGGATCAGGACTGCCAACACCTTGATTCTAGCCCAGGAATCCCAGTTCAGACTTGTGACCTCCAGAAATGTAAGATAATAAACATGCATTATTGGATGTTGCGAAATTTGTGGCAGTTTATTACAGCAACAATAGGAAACGAATATAGCCTGTAAAGAGAAATTGATTAGAGATAGAGAAGAGAGAGACAGTTGTCCAAGGACTAGATATAAGGGGGGCAAATAATAATTAACACCCTCTGAGCACTTAGTATGTGCCAGGCTAAGCACTTTACATGAATCGACATGGTCAGCCCTCAGAAACAGTGCTATGATAAGGGTGTTAGTAACACCCCTACTTACAGATAAGAAAACTGAGGCTTAGAGAGGTTAAGTGACTTCCTAAGATCAGATGGTTACCAAATTAGTACAGTCTGGCTGCAGAGGGCAGCTCTTAGACCATTCCACTGCAGCGCCTCCCTAGGAATGAGCGAGAGGGGTGGCTCTCATCAGGAAGGCAGATGCTTCCACCTCCGAGGCAGGACTGGTGGAGGGAAGAGATGCAAGCAAGTTGGGGGTTGGTCGGGAAGTGGAGAGACGTCCCACCAGATGACCTCAGTGGTTACAGTGAAGTGAGCAGGGAGGTTGTCTGCTGGAGATTCGGGGGTGGGAGGGTGGAGGAAGGAAGGAGAATGAGCATCTTTCGGGAAGGCAGCCCAGCTCCATGGCTTGTGCCTCAGTTTCCTCATCTATCAATGAGAATGACAACACAACTGCTGGTAAGGTTGTTCTGAGATAACAGATGTAAAGAACTTAGAACAGCACCGGGCCTGCCCATTGTGAATGTAAGCTACTATATAGAGAGGCAGGAAGGGTTGTTGCTCTCACTGAAAAGAAAGGGACAAAGAAAATCATGGGAATGTAGCACTGAGAACCCAGCTAGGGCATTGTAGTTATTAATTATTATGATTGCTGTTGATCGTTTCCATCTGTTCTCCCACAGTACTCAATAAAACCTCTTTTATACTCCATAGCACATTGGATTGTAGTTATTTGCATATCTGTCTCCCTTACTGAATAGGGCAATTTCTCAAACAGACGCTGGGTGAGTGGCTGGTTGGTTGGTTGGAAGGATGGAAGAGACCACTAATCATCCCCCAGCATCCATCCTCCTTTTCTTCCTTAGTAATAGAATCCCACAATTTTATGCTGGACACAAGGCCACTTTGAATACAGATTCTTTTACCAATCTCCCTAGCAGCTAGCTGTAGCCATGTGGCTAAGTTCTAATTCATAGGATATAAGCAGAAGAGGTGTGTGCAACTTCCAGGAAATGTTCTTAAAAAGAGAAGGCATGACATTTTTTGTTCCTTCCTCCTCCCTGCTGACCAGAATGCAGACATGATGGCTGGATCTCAAGCAGCCATCTTGGAACATGAAATGGAAGCCAAATGAGAAGGATGGAGGAGCAATAAGATAGAAGGAGCCTGGGTCCTGTCATTGTGGAGCACCT